AATAAATAAAAAAAAAACACACATCGTGTAACTTAAACCATTGCCTGCATCAACACAACCAGCTGTGCAGGTCTCGATATCACAGTAACAAGGGTGCAGAAACGTTCGCCGTAAAATGAGAACCATGCAGCATCAAGAAGATACTTGTTTGAGGGCAGAAGAATAAGAGCAGATACAATACCTACAATGTGCTTCAGTGTTAGACAGGTTCGCAACAATACCAACAAAAATCCTGAAAAACAAGAAGAAAGCAAATTTCGTTAGATATCGACATCACTTCTTGGAGAACGTATGTCACTTCAGCTGCGGACCGAGGACGCAGCAGGGACAAATGCAGTCGACAACGTGCACTGCACCACCTCCACCAAGCCAAACAATAACATGAAATTGCATCCACTCACTAAAATTTAACAATAAATATAAAATTGAGTCAAGATCTCAAAAATTCATGACAAGTAATAAAATGATGACTTATCGTTATGTTTGGAAATAACCATGTTCCTGTGAGAACGTAACCGAATGTGTTGAAAATGTATTACTTTCAGAGCAAGGATTTCGAGATTTGATAAGCTTCTCTTAGTCAGAGAGTGCATTACATTTATGAAATTTTTTTACATGTTGAGACAATTTCACTGAAGATGAGAATTTTTATTCATCGAAATCTTGAGTGCACAATTTACTGTGAAATTACGCACGAGGACAATAATTGATGCGGTACCTTGAGTTTCAGAGCCAAATTTTCTAGACTCAAAGAAGTCGTCATTGTATTACCACATCAATAAATAAATAAATAAATAAATAAATAAAAAGCACGTGAACAGGTTAACTTCGGTAGGATAGAAGGCGTGTACACCAACCTAAGTGGAGAGATATGCTCGTTAAATTGATATTGTAAATCTTGCGCCGCCGTAGTACGTGACCGAGGACAAAGGCCAAACCGAGCATCACGATTTGCAAAAGAATGCTAGCACTAACAATCTGCTGTTGGTCAGATAATCCTGGCGGTGGCAGCAATGACAAAGTCTTTAAGGTCGCCATTTCCATTCCTGCCTGCTCTCCCTCTCTCCCTCACTCTCTATCCCTCGTCCCCCTGAGAATGATTAAGCGCGCAGTATTCGCTAGCCGGGGTATTCGAGGTCGAGCACCACGATCGTATCAGAATTCTTCAATTATTTTTCTATTGTAAGCAATATTTTATTCAATTGCCACTCACGAATCAATCTCAAATTTCATAAAATCTTGACATGGATGAGCAACCTCCACCGAGGCATCTTTTTTGTCAAATAGAGTCTTCAACACATCAAGCCATGTGGAGCTTACAGTTCCTTGCTGCTTTCCATGGTCACGCGCACAATGCGAAAACTCAATATCAACAATACCACAGTTACTTCAACCATCAAGCAACTAAATTCTACTTTCCACTTACTGAGATCTTGCAAAATCTATGGATGATAAATTCATCAATTTTTCAAGCAGAAACTTATACATCTGCACGTCGAGAATGTTGCACTCCTTGAGTATAAACTCCAAAATAATTTTACGTCTCGCAAAATGAGGCATTATAAACAGAGTTAAGAAAAAAAATCAACAATTCTCGGCTATTATTACCCTCTCTACACCCTAAGAATAAGCTTAATGCTGGACAACATACAGACACGCTAACTCTACAGAACCTTCCCCAAACATTCCAACATCAATATTGCCACTTCTGAGTTATTTCTTTCTCCACGATCTTCTAAATAAACCAACTCATGGAGAAAACCTCGCATTGCGTGCGCGAGATCAAGCCCAACCGAAAATCTAACAATTGCATGAGCCGCTACTCCACCAACCAGTTCACCACATGATCATTCCATTCTACATATGAAACTTCTGGAAGGTTATCAAAAAATAGCCTGAAGCTTCAGTACAGGCTAGTTTCTTACACAAGAAGAGATTCATTCAACTCGGGGTAGAGCCGAACACATTTCAGCTCCTTCACGAAGCGCACGAATTCTGCTCCCGAGCAATTACACTGCGTCCGCTTCACACCACTCTCGCCTCTGCCTCTCCTTCACTATGAGACTGCACCACCACTACTTCAAAATGGTCCCCGTTCTCACGGCTCCTTGGTTCCCGTTCACCACTTTATGTACACGTCAGCATCTCCCCGGGTCTACTAGTTGCCAGATCAGCAATACTTTTCGGGTGCGTGGCGCCAACGTGGATTGGGCTCTCGATTGTCACCTCGGTTTGATTGGGTCATTGAAGATAAAATTTTGGCTCCTCTGGATTTTGACTCATATTAATGTTAGAAATATTTTTTATGCATTTCATGTGAACTTCAATTGGTGTACATGTATTTCCAATGAACTCTATAAGAATTCTAGTTGTTGTTGTTGTTTTTTTCTTTATTTATTATTATTATTATTATTTTAGAAACATTTCATGTAAACTTTAGTTCTTACTTTCCACTATGAATATATCTCTTGTAAAATCAAGTCAATATATTTCTCTACAAAATAAATGTATAATTTTGGCCAATGTGAGGGACTGTTTAAGTCTTTCCATTCTTTGTTTGTTTTTCTTGTTTGACTCCAGCATAAAAACTTGTTTTTATTTGTTATGTAGGTCTCTAAAAGAAAACAATCATCATCTTAAAATACCACTTTGCTGGTTGATTTTATAATAATTGCCAATTTTTTATGTTTTTAGAGTACACAAATTATATGCATGTTTAGTTATTCATAACCATCTTACGAGATTAAAGATTTTTTTAATATTTTATGCAGTATAATTTAAAATTTGTCATTAATACCTTAGTTTTTGTGAATTTGGATAGTTTCACTTATTTGAATCCTTCCATTTTGATGTGTATCATAGATTTTGCAAAAAATAGAATTAAAACCAAATTTAGGCTGAGTTTATACTGATGATAAGTAAGTACCAAGAACAATGCAATTAAATTTAGTTGTTAATAATACAATTACAAAATTATAAATAAATAACTAAATGAATTTGCACTTAATTCTAAATCTTTGAGATTCTTATAGCATAAGGATTAATGACATGGCATAATATTAACAGATTGTGATTTGATTTGAATTGCTCTTATTTTCACAAAATTTAATGAACAAATTTGATCTTGTTTCTCAGTAAATATAAAAAAAAATTAAAAATTAAAAAAATTATTCTTTTTATGAACTAAAAACCAAAAACATGACCTTTTCTAAGATACGTAGATAAAGAATAGTTTACCAAATATAATCTATAGGTATAGTAAAGAGAACATTGAATGTTTGTGATGGCAAAGCTAATCTACATAAGTAATAGACTATAACATAATGGGTCATCTTAGATACTAAAATATTTTCTACAAAAAAAACAAAAATATAATCAAACAACCATCTCTACCATAAAATTAGAGCAAAATAACGTTTGTTTCCCTCACACTGTATGTTGAACAAAAGATCAGTTTGTTAGATTCAGAATTACCAACTCAATGTAATGATATTTGTTGATTATAAATAAAACAAAGAAAACAGAATTTTCTTTGAAGTCAGGCCATACTATTAGAAGTATAGAAAGCAACAAATTGTTGAAGAAGTATCATAATGTAAGTTATTGTTTGGAATGCTGTGATCAAATCATAGACCCATTTGATTCTTGTATGTACACAATAATAATTACCTTGGATTAAAAATAAATAAACTTTACACATTAATATAAATCTAGTCATTTAAAACGTCCTTCAAAAGTTATTTTTTTCTTACCAAATTCTTCACTACTAACTTGGCTGTAAAATTACCAAAGTTGAAATTTACTCTCGAAGATCTTCAATGACATTGTTTTGTGATAAAGTCATCTTTTACATTTTAAAACTCTTGATTTATTATGAAGACATCTATGTAATATAAAAGGATGCAGTTATATAGAATTATTTAAATGGTTTATTTATTTGATTATACCCACCTTTATAATCAAACTTCTTCTTACAATCCTTATTATGTAGAAGACCTTTGCAACAAAAATACATACAATTAAACTATGCTTGCCTCTTAAAGATAAGTTGAAAAAAAAGTTCAATATTTTAAAGAATATAAGTTTTACTATATTTATGTATATATATATATATATATATATATATATACACTAATTCCACGATACTTTAAATAAAAGATGTACTCTAAATATTAAAATTTCCAAAAATATGAAAGATTCTATGATTTTTACATTCTACTATATCATTCATATTGATATGAAGTTTCAATGTACACATCATTTGTAGGATAAAACACAAAATGAAAGTCATAGTAGTTTGAAAGGAAAATAATCTATCAAATGCTTTAAAATTATGCAAAATCTGCTTGGGAGATGATGGTTAGAGAAAACAACAACCCAGTTTTATCTGTAGAATAAAACAAATTAAGTTCGACCTTTGAAAATTCAATTTTAAGCATAAAACTTTTCATTAAAAAACTCACTCAAAGACTCAACATACGAAATTCAAGTTCAAGCTTGTAACGTAATTTTTTATGATAAAGGAATAATTATATAAATAAAGAAACTATCAGTAAGGAATTAATCTCCTAATGCGTATTGGCGAGACAAGTAGTTGGATATTCTCCTAGATTACACCTACCAGATTCTTCTTACAGCGATGTACATTGAAAGTTCTTGCCCGCTTGTAACAAGCTGTAGAAATTGCCTCTCAGAGTTAAAACATTAGATGGATCGCCAAAAACATTCTCATTCAGGACTGGAGAAATACTCTCATTGTCACACAGACGAATCAAATGCATTAAAAACAGTTTTAAACATCCAGAACACAGTGCCCATATTATATAACCACTTTGTGAACAAAGTAAATATACAAAAGACAATCCAGTGAGGAGGGGAAGGGAGGCGATGGGGAGAATCGTCGGGGCGGATGAACGCGGTCGGGCCGGTCCGAGGGGCGTCCGTCCGTCCGTCCGTCCGTCCGTCCGTCCGTCTCCGCCTCCAAAACCTTGCAAAGGGCTGGCCTGCGGTGCAAAGGCACGATCTGAAACCCCACACACACTCACACTCGCTCACACACAGAGAGAGAGAGAGAGAGAGAGAGCGAGCGAGAGCGCTCTTCTGCGTGCTGGTTGCGACGAAGAAGCTCCTCCGATCGGACGGGCTCTTCCCCGATGCAGGTCATGGCGTCGCGCAGGATGACCGGACTGGGATTGCTGCTGCTGCTTTGCGGGTGCTTTGTTCTCGCCGCTTCGCTCTCTGACACGGTACTCTTCTTCTCTTGCATCCCGCTTCGTTTCGTTCCTCGGGCTGTCGGTTTGGGTTTCGGGGCGGTTCTCCGTGGCATGTCGCGGTCGGGGTTGCGATTCGAGCAGATTGCGTCGCGCGGCGCTGGGAGCTTGTAGCTGTGGACCTTGTTACCTCTCTTGCGCTCTGTCCCCTTTCCCCCGCTTTTTCCCTCTTTTGTGTAACGTTTGGTTCGTTTATGATACTTGGCTCTTGTTCCGAGTGTTGAGTTGTGAATGTGCGACTGATGCGCCGTGCGATAGAGTAATGCGGCATTGCTTTGTGTCGACGAGTCGCGTTGGGCAATAGTTGCACTCGGACGTTGCGTCTTGGTCGCATCGTGAGTGTGTAGTGGCGTTGCGTCGGACCCTGCCGCTTCTTCGAGCGTCCCTCTCGCTCTCCCCTGGCGAGATCCTTCTCAATCCGAATGTTCCCTGCGCCTCTGGGAGGAGCTAGACCCGCCGCTTGCCTTTTGCGCGTGCTGATTTACGATGTTCTCGGTGTCTTTCGTCTCGTATGAGGACGTGTGTCGGCGGTATTTTGTCTTTTCCTGATAGTAGAGAGTGGGTAGTGGTTGGCATCGTGCCCTTGGATTGTGCAGCGCGCGATCCTGATATTCGTATTTTAACCAGTTTGTGTCGATTTGGCGCATGCACCTCCTTGTCAAGTAGCGTCTGTGCGAGGTCTACTACACCATCCGTGAGTTATCGTAGGGATGATTGCAGCTGCGGTGATGGGATTCTGTGGCATTTGGTAATGGGTGAAGTTGTAAGAGCCTGGTGAAATACGATTCCGATCTTGCGTTGAGGCGTGGATAGGTTAGTAGTTGCTGCATTTAGATCCCACGACACCGCGTTTACAGAGATGTGTGCACTTCTTGGTCAGAAGTCATCTTGGTTGAGCTTGTCGAGGTAGCACTGGGGAAGCCAATGCTCGAGTGGGGTAACGGTTTACTTGAGAGAGCTCTGTGGGCGGAGCTGGGGTTTTTCGTTATTCTGGAGCTCTTGAGTGCGTGAACTGTGAGAGCACTGTGTGGAAGTGTTTTTCGCGTCGCATGGTACCGCGGGTTGATGATTTAGCTGCGAATTAGGTTGTTTGAGGGGATGGTTTGTGAATGGGGATTGGTCTTGCCTCTAAATTGAGATCCGCTGTAGGTTGAGGGTTGAGGTGAGAAGTGCAATCGCAGGAGGTGGACAATGCGAAGTGGTTCTAACTTGGAAGGGTTTCATGTATGTGGCAGGTATTCTATGAAAGTTTCGATGAGGACTTCGAAGGTCGTTGGGTGGTGTCTCAGAACAGCGAGTACGGAGGTATTCATCGTCGCGTCCCTTTCCATCTCGATCATTCGGGCATGGGGTTATTATACGGTGTTGGGACATGGCCTGGCGATTTTGTGAGAGCGGTGTGATTGCGTGTGCTTACTGGTGAAGCGTGTGTATTTTTTTTCTTTTCTGTGTGGTTCAGGTACATGGAAGCATGCGAAAAGTGAAGGTCACGATGATTACGGTCTGTTGGTGAGTGAGAAAGCTAAGAAGTACGGTATAGCAGTGGACTTGCCCGAGAAGGTCGATCCCAAGGATGGAGCTCTTGTTCTTCAGTATGATCTGAGACTTCAGAGCGGTCTTGAGTGCGGTGGTGCGTACTTGAAGTTTCTCCAACCTCAGGTGAGGCTCAGGAAAGAGCGTGGTTGGCGTTAAGACTTGTCGAGTTTTGTTGGGCACCTGTGAAACGACCCACGGCATTTTGGTTGTAGTATGTTGTATGCCGATTCAGCACAAGTTTGGTGTATGCCAGTTCATGACGGTGCATCTAACAATGGAGACGGTGTCCTGTCGTTGACAGGAAGCAGGGTGGACGGCCAACGACTTCAACAATGAGTCGCCGTACTCCATAATGTTCGGTCCGGACAAGTGTGGAGCCACCAACAAGGTGCACTTCATCTTCCGACACAAGAACCCAGTGACAGGAAAATACGTGGAGCATCATCTGAAGAACCCCCCTGTTCCCGCAGGAGACAAGTTGTCTCACGTCTACACAGCCATCATCTATCCGAACAACACTCTGAGAATTTTGATCGATGGTGAGGAGAAGAAGACGGCCGATCTGTTATCTGACGAGTTTGAACCAACAGTGATCCCCGCCAAGACGATTGCCGATCCAGAAGACAAGAAGCCTGAGGATTGGGATGACCGCGCCAAGATTTCCGACCCCGATGCCACTAAGCCTGATGACTGGGATGAGGATGCCCCCAGAGAGATCGAAGACGAGGAAGCTGAGAAGCCAGAGGGATGGTTGGATGATGAGCCTGATGAAGTGGACGATCCTGAAGCCGTGAAACCCGAGGATTGGGACGACGAGGAAGATGGCGAATGGGAACCTCCCAAGATCAGTAACCCGAAATGTGAGGAGGCTCCTGGTTGTGGTGAGTGGAAGCGCCCCATGAAGAAGAACCCCGCCTTCAAGGGCAAGTGGAAGGCACCAATGATTGACAACCCAGCTTATCAAGGCATTTGGGCACCTAAGCAGATTCCCAATCCCGAGTACTTTGAGTTAGAGAAGCCCAACTTGGAAGCTGTGGCCGCCATCGGTATTGAGATTTGGACCATGCAAGATGGCATCCTCTTCGACAATATTCTAGTAGCACACGATGAAGCGAACGCTGAAGAGTACAGGAAGAAGACCTGGGAACCAAAACACGCGGTTGAGGAGGAGAAAGAGGCAGCTGAGGCCAAGAAGTCCGAAGATAAACCAGAGAAGGCCGGGTTGGACAGCATCAAGGTTTGTACAGAAACGTTTTCCAGTTGAAGTTTTATGGGAGGTGTGGGAAGTGCCTTTTGGTTGAGATGGTGAGCTTGTGGCATTGAAGTTGATTGCTGCATTGTATGATGACAGTTTTGAGTTGGCCTGTTTTTATGCTAAATCAGGGCAAGGTCTTCGAGGCTCTTAACAAGGTTTCCGAGATTCCATTCCTCGCCAAGTACAAGGAACAGATTGATGTAAGACGTTCAGCCTGTCTACGGTAGTCTGTGCTGTTGTGGCTTTTTTTTTGTTCTGTGGCTCCGGCGTACCCATTTTGCACAGTTTGATTTATTCTTGGATCATGGAGTTCTAAAACGCGCTTTTAATTGTATTGACAGGACGTGCTTGACAAGGCTGAGAAGAATTCGAATGTTACTCTCGGTGTTTTGGCAACCATCCCTGTCCTCCTCGTGACGATGCTGTTGAGCTTTTGCTTTGGAAAGAAGAAGACGCCATCCACCGTACGTGACTACATCGGTTTACTTTGGTCTATGCATGGTCACATATATTGTAGCTGTGCAAGTTTCAGCGCACAAAGCATATTTTTGTAACCTGTTAGAACGTTTGCAGTTGCTGTGGTGCCGGATTTGAAGAGTGCATATGTCCTTCCCTCCTGTGTTCGGTGGTTGCAGGAGGTTAATAGATGACGGGCAGGGGAGCTTTCTGTTTTTGTGATGTGTTTGCTGTCGTTTTTGATTCGGTAGATCTAAGGATGTGTGCATTGCAACCTGTTCAGGGTACAACTGGGGCCACGAAAAAGGAGGATACTGTGACCGCTGATGATGTATCTGGAGCCAAGGAGGAACAAGTAGAGGAAGAAGAGCAAGAGCAGGCTGGGGAGATTGAGAAGGAGGGTGTGAGTGCCCGCCGCAGGCCCCGGAGAGAGACGTAGTTAGGATTTGAACGGAAGTCGGTATTGTTAGGTATGTAATCGCGGCGAGCAGGCTATTCGCCACAATGCCAGGGCGAGGTTAGCTGCTGAGATCCTTGCGGGGGCTCTTGTGCATATGACCATGTGTAGAATTATGTGCACCATGCTCGCACTTGCTGGTACACAAGGGTGTTGTCGGTTGTAGCGCTCGGTTCACAGCAGACTTTTGTGACAGATGGTTAGATCCTTTTAATTTTTTTTAAAAACTTTTTCTCTCATACTTTGTACTTGATTTTTGTTTAGATTAAAGGGAATTAAGCAAAGATTGACTGTGGGTCGCTAAACTTGGTGGTTGGATGTTGATTTAATTCATGAGCATGTCCAAAAATCAATCCGCCATAGTAAATCTATTGTTTTCGATACGAGTTTGAAAAGAATATTCCTCTATTTGGTATGCAGCTTAGGTTGGAATAATTTGTGTCTTTGTCGTTTACACATTCATGTCGGAATATAATTTTGATCATAGATATAATCTGAAAACAATTAAACCAAATGAATACCTTTGAAAAGAAACAATACATGATTAACAATTAAAAGAAAATAATGATAATAAAAAAGAATTATCAAATAAGAAAGTAAACCCAAAAATTTATCTTGGTAACTTACGAGTATCTTGAATAGAAAGAGAGGACAACCTCTGATGAGATTATTAAGAGATTATTGTGAAAAATTAAGTCGCTACAATAATTAATACATTCTGTAGTCTACCACTTAGATCATATTATGCTATTTCAGTAAGTATGACCAAGTTTTATCGAATTCAATTGGTTGAAGTTGTATGGATCATTTTATTTTGAAAGGAAGAGTGCAATGGTACAAATGCAAGAGCAATTGAGGGAGTTAATGCTTGCAATGCATCAACTCAATTTACGATCATAATGAGCAAGAAAATTAGCACGAAGTGAAGATATAAAAATAATTGGAACTGTTTCAACATTTGCACCAAATGATGTCCCTTCTTCCATGGTGGAACACCCTTCCACTATTAGAGAACCAAGAATCGCCTTATCCTAGAAGTTTGATGGCATCAAATCAAAGTTTAGAAGATTTATCAATCAAGTAAAACTTGTGACTGAACTTCTATCTCAAAGCTATCCAATTCTAGGATCACAAGTTAGATTCATTAGTATGTTTCTTTCAGGTTCAACATTATCATGATTTTTTTTCTTTTTATTAAACAATGACATCCAATATCAGATAATCTGGAGGCTCTTTTAATAAAGATTTGATCCATGTATGGAGAACATGATGCAATTCGTGTTGTAACCAACAAGATCCGTATTTTGTGACAAGACAATCAATTAGTAATACTGTATTCTTCACAATTTTGATAACTTGCAACTGATATCAAGTAAGATGATGCTATACTTATTAGCCAATTTTTCTACGGATTGTAATGTGAGGTAAGAAAATCAATGCTCAACTTACTTGATCCTCAAACATTGAATCAAGCAATTGACTTTGCTGTGAAGGATATGTAAATTGATGCAATGTGTTTCAAACCTCTTACTAAGTAAGAAAAGACTCATCATCGTTAGGAAGGATTATGCTTATATTGGAAAGAATCTAAGCACATTATTCAACATTATCCAAAGAAGCGATACAATTATAAAATGAATACTACGGCTATCAAAGAAGACAATATGATAGAAAACGAGTTTGTACAACTACAACAAGAACCATGCGGTTGGAACCTTTATCAACACCTAGTGAATCTCCATTTCTCTCCTTAGAACCCTCTATGATCTAAGTGGTAGACTACAGAATGTATTAATTATTGTAGCGACTTAATTTTTCACAATAATCTCTTAATAATCTCATCAGAGGTTGTCCTCTCTTTCTATTCAAGATACTCGTAAGTTACCAAGATAAATTTTTGGGTTTACTTTCTTATTTGATAATTCTTTTTTATTATCATTATTTTCTTTTAATTGTTAATCATGTATTGTTTCTTTTCAAAGGTATTCATTTGGTTTAATTGTTTTCAGATTATATCTATGATCAAAATTATATTCCGACATGAATGTGTAAACGACAAAGACACAAATTATTCCAACCTAAGCTGCATACCAAATAGAGGAATATTCTTTTCAAACTCGTATCGAAAACAATAGATTTACTATGGCGGATTGATTTTTGGACATGCTCATGAATTAAATCAACATCCAACCACCAAGTTTAGCGACCCACAGTCAATCTTTGCTTAATTCCCTTTAATCTAAACAAAAATCAAGTACAAAGTATGAGAGAAAAAGTTTTTAAAAAAAATTAAAAGGATCTAACCATCTGTCACAAAAGTCTGCTGTGAACCGAGCGCTACAACCGACAACACCCTTGTGTACCAGCAAGTGCGAGCATGGTGCACATAATTCTACACATGGTCATATGCACAAGAGCCCCCGCAAGGATCTCAGCAGCTAACCTCGCCCTGGCATTGTGGCGAATAGCCTGCTCGCCGCGATTACATACCTAACAATACCGACTTCCGTTCAAATCCTAACTACGTCTCTCTCCGGGGCCTGCGGCGGGCACTCACACCCTCCTTCTCAATCTCCCCAGCCTGCTCTTGCTCTTCTTCCTCTACTTGTTCCTCCTTGGCTCCAGATACATCATCAGCGGTCACAGTATCCTCCTTTTTCGTGGCCCCAGTTGTACCCTGAACAGGTTGCAATGCACACATCCTTAGATCTACCGAATCAAAAACGACAGCAAACACATCACAAAAACAGAAAGCTCCCCTGCCCGTCATCTATTAACCTCCTGCAACCACCGAACACAGGAGGGAAGGACATATGCACTCTTCAAATCCGGCACCACAGCAACTGCAAACGTTCTAACAGGTTACAAAAATATGCTTTGTGCGCTGAAACTTGCACAGCTACAATATATGTGACCATGCATAGACCAAAGTAAACCGATGTAGTCACGTACGGTGGATGGCGTCTTCTTCTTTCCAAAGCAAAAGCTCAACAGCATCGTCACGAGGAGGACAGGGATGGTTGCCAAAACACCGAGAGTAACATTCGAATTCTTCTCAGCCTTGTCAAGCACGTCCTGTCAATACAATTAAAAGCGCGTTTTAGAACTCCATGATCCAAGAATAAATCAAACTGTGCAAAATGGGTACGCCGGAGCCACAGAACAAAAAAAAAGCCACAACAGCACAGACTACCGTAGACAGGCTGAACGTCTTACATCAATCTGTTCCTTGTACTTGGCGAGGAATGGAATCTCGGAAACCTTGTTAAGAGCCTCGAAGACCTTGCCCTGATTTAGCATAAAAACAGGCCAACTCAAAACTGTCATCATACAATGCAGCAATCAACTTCAATGCCACAAGCTCACCATCTCAACCAAAAGGCACTTCCCACACCTCCCATAAAACTTCAACTGGAAAACGTTTCTGTACAAACCTTGATGCTGTCCAACCCGGCCTTCTCTGGTTTATCTTCGGACTTCTTGGCCTCAGCTGCCTCTTTCTCCTCCTCAACCGCGTGTTTTGGTTCCCAGGTCTTCTTCCTGTACTCTTCAGCGTTCGCTTCATCGTGTGCTACTAGAATATTGTCGAAGAGGATGCCATCTTGCATGGTCCAAATCTCAATACCGATGGCGGCCACAGCTTCCAAGTTGGGCTTCTCTAACTCAAAGTACTCGGGATTGGGAATCTGCTTAGGTGCCCAAATGCCTTGATAAGCTGGGTTGTCAATCATTGGTGCCTTCCACTTGCCCTTGAAGGCGGGGTTCTTCTTCATGGGGCGCTTCCACTCACCACAACCAGGAGCCTCCTCACATTTCGGGTTACTGATCTTGGGAGGTTCCCATTCGCCATCTTCCTCGTCGTCCCAATCCTCGGGTTTCACGGCTTCAGGATCGTCCACTTCATCAGGCTCATCATCCAACCATCCCTCTGGCTTCTCAGCTTCCTCGTCTTCGATCTCTCTGGGGGCATCCTCATCCCAGTCATCAGGCTTAGTGGCATCGGGGTCGGAAATCTTGGCGCGGTCATCCCAATCCTCAGGCTTCTTGTCTTCTGGATCGGCAATCGTCTTGGCGGGGATCACTGTTGGTTCAAACTCGTCAGATAACAGATCGGCCGTCTTCTTCTCCTCACCATCGATCAAAATTCTCAGAGTGTTGTTCGGATAGATGATGGCTGTGTAGACGTGAGACAACTTGTCTCCTGCGGGAACAGGGGGGTTCTTCAGATGATGCTCCACGTATTTTCCTGTCACTGGGTTCTTGTGTCGGAAGATGAAGTGCACCTTGTTGGTGGCTCCACACTTGTCCGGACCGAACATTATGGAGTACGGCGACTCATTGTTGAAGTCGTTGGCCGTCCACCCTGCTTCCTGTCAACGACAGGACACCGTCTCCATTGTTAGATGCACCGTCATGAACTGGCATACACCAAACTTGTGCTGAATCGGCATACAACATACTACAACCAAAATGCCGTGGGTCGTTTCACAGGTGCCCAACAAAACTCGACAAGTCTTAACGCCAACCACGCTCTTTCCTGAGCCTCACCTGAGGTTGGAGAAACTTCAAGTACGCACCACCGCACTCAAGACCGCTCTGAAGTCTCAGATCATACTGAAGAACAAGAGCTCCATCCTTGGGATCGACCTTCTCGGGCAAGTCCACTGCTATACCGTACTTCTTAGCTTTCTCACTCACCAACAGACCGTAATCATCGTGACCTTCACTTTTCGCATGCTTCCATGTACCTGAACCACACAGAAAAGAAAAAAAATACACACGCTTCACCAGTAAGCACACGCAATCACACCGCTCTCACAAAATCGCCAGGCCATGTCCCAACACCGTATAATAACCCCATGCCCGAATGATCGAGATGGAAAGGGACGCGACGATGAATACCTCCGTACTCGCTGTTCTGAGACACCACCCAACGACCTTCGAAGTCCTCATCGAAACTTTCATAGAATACCTGCCACATACATGAAACCCTTCCAAGTTAGAACCACTTCGCATTGTCCACCTCCTGCGATTGCACTTCTCACCTCAACCCTCAACCTACAGCGGATCTCAATTTAGAGGCAAGACCAATCCCCATTCACAAACCATCCCCTCAAACAACCTAATTCGCAGCTAAATCATCAACCCGCGGTACCATGCGACGCGAAAAACACTTCCACACAGTGCTCTCACAGTTCACGCACTCAAGAGCTCCAGAATAACGAAAAACCCCAGCTCCGCCCACAGAGCTCTCTCAAGTAAACCGTTACCCCACTCGAGCATTGGCTTCCCCAGTGCTACCTC